TTTATCATAAAAATACAAAATGAATTTCCTATTTCGTCTATATATATAATAACACAAACTCAAATGCCGTGTCCATACGTGAGTGTATTTCGTTACGCATCATTAATTATCTCGCTACGGTATCAATTTTGTCCATTCATGATATTAATACGTCACACGTAGCACGAGTTGTTTAGACAGTTATCGAGCGTACAGGACAACCCAGAGAGAATGCTTTTTGACCCTCCGCGAATTACGAAATAAATTGCTTTGCTACCGCGGTATCTATTCTCCCCGCGACGTTCAAATTTTCGACCAATCGATTCGGCGAGCTCGCACGAGACTCTCGCCTAGGTTCCCAGCGCGCCTAATTCTCGCGGACAATCGAGCGCGAGAATTCGAAATCGTCGACCGAGCGACGAGCACGCGAGAACAGTCTCTTCCCCTCGCGTGAGTTCACGCGAAAATGGACGTTCGACGTAGCCGCGCGAAACGTTCGAGTCCCAGCGAGACCGTCGATTTTCGCCTACTGTCCGTCGCACGCGTCGCAACTTAAAGATGGCGTCGCCCTGGTCGCGCATGCCGTGGGCCTCTCTGGCGAAGGCGAGCGGCGCGAGCGTGTCGCGGTTCGCGAGCCTCGCGTTCGCCGAGCGGCATGCGGGAGCTCGGACATTTCACTCGTGTCAGCAACAGCAACAGCGGCAACAGCAGCAACGGCAGCAGCAACAGCAGCATGGACGAAGAGTCGGAAGCGGCGGAGCGAGGGAGTTCCTAACCTATACCGTGTTCGCCTCGGCGGCAGGTCTCGCCTTGTACGACTGGTGGAGCGACGACCGGAGAATTGTAGGTCTAGCCGTCCCAAACTGGCCTGCCGTTCGCGCTATCTCGCCGCCGTCCGATGGCAATCGGAACAGGGACAAGTACAATTTTATAGCGGACGTGGTGGAGATATCCGCGCCAGCTGTTGTGTACATCGAGATCAAGGATAGCAATAAGTAAGTGTTGCCTGATCGACACGATAGCATGACGTTACGAGGCTGGTCGACTTAGAATACGTGGAGTAAACTTGGAGTAAATTGGTTGGTGCTGCAAATATTTTAATTTAGCTTCCTAACACCTAAAGATTGTAGGTGTCTTACGTCTACTCTTAAGCCTTGTGTCCACGATCCAAGAACTGCGTCCAAGTTTTAGTTCCCAGAAATGTGTGATGAATCAACTTGCATCTTTTAAGGCCTGTGTCCACGATGCTAGAACCTGGACCAAGTTGTAGCGTCGTGGATACGTGCCTTTACGGAAAAGATTTCTCGGAACCAGAACTTGGACACAGTTCTTGGATGGTGGGCACAAGGCTTTACTCCAGGGTCGCTTCATGTATTGTGGACCAGCCATTATTTCACTTTTGTGACATGAAGTGTGTACTAATTCATTGCTTTGTAAAGCAGAATAGACTTTTTCACGGGAAAGCCGATGACTACCAGCCATGGATCAGGGTTTATCATCAATCAAGACGGTTTAATACTGACGAATGCTCATGTTGTAGTAAACAAGCCTAACATATTGGTGAAGGTAAACGTGAGTCCTTTTACCTTCTCCGAGCATCCTATGTCCCAAGTAACATCCAGTATCCTGGACCTTAAATCTCTTAAAAATCTTGAAGCTATTCCCTTCAATTATCATTTCATAGAACTATGTTGATAGAAGTTATCAGGGTTGGAAAGTAACTCGTTACGTGTAACAAGTTACAGTTAATTTTTTTTGGTAACGTAACTTTGTTTCTTTCTCTCCATCTGCAACTGTAACCTAACTCAATTACATTAATAGTTACTTTATATATTTTTAAACCTCCACGGGTTGCAGGCCTATTTGCGCATAAACGCCTTTATGAACATTTTACAATTCAAATGCGGACTTGATAGTTTTATTTTCACTGCAAGGAAGTAACAGCGAAGTAACGATTCGTTACTTTTTGAGTAACCATGACTGTAACGCGTCACTTTTCAGAATTAGTAACTTGTAGTAGCTAGTTACATTTTTAGCGAAGAAAACTGTAACTGTAACTAGATACTTTTATAAAGTAACTTTTCCCTGAAAGTTATGAATCATATAACAATAATTTATCATCTTTTCACGTAGGTGCGGCTTTATGATGGTAGCACATATACTGGAATGGTAGAGCACGTCGACTTGCAAAGCGATCTTGCTACTGTGAGAATAAATAAGGTAACTTTGTTATTCTATTTCATGTATAAATGTGACACTGAAATATTTGTGATCGCTAATTTGTTGTATTGCTCAATCGTACAGACCAATCTACCGGTGATGAAGCTCGGTTGTTCGGCTAATATCAGACCGGGAGAGTTTGTAGTGGCTATCGGTTCCCCGTTGTCTCTCAGCAACACCATAACGAGTGGAGTGGTGAGCAGCGTAAGCAGACAAAGCCAAGAACTTGGTTTGAATAACAAACGTATGGAATACATTCAAACGGACGCGGCGATCACTGTTAGTAATGATTAGTTCTGGAGTAAACGTCGAGCGTTGCGCCACCATATGACTAGTGGTCGCGTTTTCTTTCTAGTTTGGAAACTCGGGCGGACCGCTGGTGAATTTGAACGGAGAGGCGATAGGCATAAACGCAATGAAAGTGACGCCCGGTATTTCCTTCGCCATACCCATAGATTACGCGAAAGAGTTCTTGAAGAAGGCGGAATCACATAAGAAAAACAAAGGTAACTCGAATTACCGGTTCATTTTAACAACATGCTAAAGAGACTTGTTCGCATTTGCTCATTTCAAAGACAAACCTGTTCGGCGGGGAAATGGTGGGGAATTTTGTGTATTTTCTAAGGGTATTTGGGTCACTCCATATCTTTATGATGGTCTACCAAACCATCGAGTAATACACCAAATATCGCGCTGCTAGCATTCCCATATTCCCTACTTTATTCGTGAAATAGAATAGGCACACGAGAAAGATATCGAGTGTGGATTTGAAGCTCGGTACGAGGAGCAGTCGCCCGGCGTGCAAAAGAATCTTAGCTTCGAATCCTGATATATTCTCACTCGATGTTTTTCTTGCCTAAAAGTTGTGCGTTTTAGCGCCTGTCTCCCTGAAGATACACTCCTGCGTTGAAGATATCAATTATATGCTATATTTGCAGATGTTACGTTTAGAGAAGCACTCAAGAGAAGATACATGGGCATCACGATGCAAACGCTGACTCCGGAAATCTTAAATGAGATGCAACAGTCCAATGAGTATGTGAACGTTCGGCATGGAGTTCTCATATGGAGAGTAGTGATCGGCTCTCCGGCTTATCGGTAATACAAAAACATTGCATCATCTTAAATTTTATATTTAATTTTATATTAAGAGAATTGACCAACTTGCAAATTAATTTTTTTCTCAAAAATATATTATTAATAATGTGCGAATTAGAAGTTATTAGAATCGGAGGATTTCTCACAAATTACGCGTCAGATAGATCACAGAAAATAAAATAGATAAGAATAGAAGCGATGAAACGATATTTGAATTCGATATTCATGCTTTGTCGAGATTAAATGTTTACAATTAATGCATACTTGATATTGAAGAGCTTGCAACGAATGAAACGCGTATGGAAATGTGTAAAAAATTGTAAAATTTCATTACTATCTCTCTGTTATTGTAGTGCTGGGTTGAAGCCTGGGGATGTAGTGACGCATGCTAATGAGAAGCCGGTACTGGATTCGAGCAATATTTATGCAATCTTAGAACAATCAGAAAAGATAAACTTACAAATTATAAGGAAGGATCGAGTTTTATACGTACAAGTCAAGCCTGACGATATATAGTTGGGTTTGTTGAACCATTTCGATTGGATGAAAAATTCTACGGTACAAATCAACGAAATGGTAACGTTTATAAAGTGAATTTATTAAATTTTCCACGCTACTGTAATATAGATCCTGATATAAATTTAGTAATTGTTAAGCGTTATACGGTATATACAATTTATTTTTATTAAATCTTTTTCTTTGAGAACGTATCGCACGTAGCTCGTTAGTAACGTTGGTGCCTTCAATATGTTCCGAGCGCCGGGTTTATTCGTAAAAAAAGAAGCCCTACAATAAAGAAGGAACGACGGGAATCGCGTTTATCGTTTAGCGCACTTTATACCTGGTGAGCCGGCTCATCAGTCACACCATCGAGCCCCCAGTATACACGCCTTTTGGTTGTATATCCATTTTAATTTAAATATACACGATAAAGGACCACTTAGCGACTTCTGCAATTTATCAGGCGAGGAAGCGTTCATTTATCCACTTATCCGCTTTATCCACCGACATTTTTCGACCGTCGCGAAGAGCGATATCACGTCGCGCGGATAGTCGCGTCGAGTCCTTGCCGTGATATGCGTACATACGCGCGAATGCAAGTCTCACGTGCGTGCGTACGTGCGTGCGTGAGTGAGCGAGCGAGTGAGCGCTTATGCGCGCCGGGTGTGGTCCACCGGCTCGACTGCATTATGTTTATGTTGTTTACGACGTAAGGCGACCTCCGCAAATATGTGGCCGGATCTCGCCGGCGCGACGAGGCGCGTGGGTGTGGTTTCTCGCGCACATGGGGCTTCCACCGGCGGCGATTTTTCCGCGGGGATAATTTTACTGTCCGCGGACGCGTGCATCTTGTTGGAATTCTAAATGGTCATCCCGTCGGACCGGGACGTAACAGACCGAGCGTCCGCGAAGGATCGGTGAAAGGAGAGGAGGGGAGACGCGCGGCCCTCTCGACGATCCCTTTCGCCGCGGACTTGAGAAATATCGCCGATACCGGCAAACGGCCGTGATCTTGTACACGGCGATGATAAATAGCGATTAGCTTGACCTTGATAAGAGGATGATAAGAATAGGAACTCGACGACTCGGTGCGTTCGAGGGCTCCGATCAACAGGATGCGCATCGAAAGAATTGCCTCGTGGACAAAAGTAGCGAGACGTCGGGTAAAGTTTGAAGCTATTACACAAGGAAATCTAAACCGTAGAAATAGATAAGAAAATTCTTTATTTTCCCGCATAATTCTCGTAATTTAAACGAATTTCGTTCGCAAACGCTTACTTCGTTCTCACGATTAATTCCGAGCGAGATGCAGAAGAAGCCCGAATTGAAGATTAACAAATGAAGCGCTCGATTTTCACGCTTCAAGTACGTGAGAAATGAGATATCGAGCTCAAGAAAAATGGAAGACAAATGGAAACGATCGGTTCCGTTCCCGGCGAGAAGTATTGTCCCTTTGGCGAATGTTATATCGCACGAAGAAATAATTGTATGCGCAAGTGACTCCACTCTCTTACTCCGAATCGAACCCCGCGGGCATAATTACATTGCGTATCGGTACAGCAATTTCACAATCGTGAATTTCCACATACCGTTGCGGCCGAAAGAAGAAAAATAACAGAGAAAGAGAGGAAGGAAGACAAAAAAAAAGAAGAGCCCTCGGTCGGTGCGTTACTTTGAAGTCACGCTGAATCGCGAAGGGTTAAGGAAATAAGAGGTGCCTTGACCTACGGTGCGCAGCACGGAGGAGAGCGAGCGCGAGTAATCGAGTATTTCTGCCGACCGTGTTCACGGTCCGACCATTATTGTCTCCCGTCCTCTCCCGCCCTCGACAGACGATCTCCTTCTCCCTCTTATCCTCCTTCGCCGTTTTTTTGTCCCCGCCACCGCGTCGACGTACGCGGGAGCCTATTCCCCGATTATCCACGCTTTCGCGGACGATCCTCGCCTACGGACGCCGGAACGCCTCGGTGTCTCTCCTACGTGACGCCGCTTGTCCGCTGGTAGCGGTAAACGGAGGACGAATCTCGCGGGCGCGGGAGATATCTCGGGGAGATCCGCACCCACACGGGCGCGCCGGGTCTACGTCGGACGATGACCGGAAGCGAGAGGAACCACCTGAAAGGTCACGGCCCGCGCTTGGGCTCGCTCGAAAGGCGTGTCCCGCCGTCGGATTAGGCCTGCGAGACGGCGACAGGAATGAGGAAGCGGGATGTGCCGCTTAGATATTGACAAACAAACGCGCGTCGCGGTCCCGTGAGAATTCCGCGCGGGACGCATACCCGGGATACCCCCGCATCCGGGTCGGGAGAGATTTCCTCGACCGAATCGGCGTCGGTCGTTCCCTTTAGGAGCGCGAGTAAGGAATCTCGCCGATATTAAAAGTCGACTCTAAATTGCCGAACGTCGGCGCGCGCGCCTCGGCGTGAATTAAGCGCCGTCGTTCCCGCGCCGTTTGAAATTCAAAATAATACCGCGGGTAACTGACCGTCGTGTTATGGAAGTTGTATTTCCCGCTTATCGTAACGTTCTCCTATTTATATCGCGCCTGCGCGCCGGGCGTAACGAAAGGAAAAGAAAAAAGTCACGAGCACCAAGTCCATTCGCGCCGAGATCGGGCGCGATATTCCGCGGATACTATACCCGCCCACGTTTTCTTACATTCCGATTTTTCATCGCGATACGGCCGATGACCAGAAGAATGAGAAATCTTCCCCTCGACGCGCAGAGAATCGAGTTACTCGATCGCGAGAGATACGAATCTCGTTAAACGATCTCGGCGTCGGGCAGGAATGAGCCAGAAAGCGGAATTGATTAAATTATAGGCGGGCTTACCGCCGCGTTTCTCCCTTTCGATTCTCAAAATTGTCAGGCGGTTTTCTGCAATTCTACACGGAGAGAATTTTCTTTTAAAATTTATCCCGAAAATCATGTGACCGTGGGACAACGGGGCATTTCGGAGAATTTTATAAGACAGGAAAAAAAATTATTTAACGACTTTATACTAGCTGGGCGGTTTAATTTAACAATTTATTTCAACGTTTCGACCATCCGGGAATATTCCTTTCTGTATAATAAATATGATTGGCGCTATATCGATCCTATTTTATGATACATTCAAGTGTAATAGCATTGGACCCGGAAATTTTTTCTGTGGGTGTACATAGTATATATTTTACTATAGTTAAATTTAAAAAAACTGATAAAGTTCAAAGTGCCGTTTAGTCCCACGTTCACATGATTCTCAGGGTAAATCTTAAGAGAAAATTCTCCATGTAGAAATGGCCTTTGCGCTCTTTTCTATGCTGCGGAATCTTTTATCTTCACGTGATTTTTAATAACCGTTTCGCTGTCAAAGTCTGATATTTATTACGCTGCAAATAGAGATGTCTTCGTAAAAGACGCATCTCCCGTGAAATTACCGAGATTACACAAGGATTTCACGTGTACATTACGCGTGTCTAGCAATCTAAAAATTAACTGATGCTTAAAATCGATTATTCGCATTAAGATATACGGATATCGGCGCAAAAAAAAAGTATCGATGAGGCAGCGTAATTGCCTATAATTAATTAATGCATTGTAATTCGCATTAATATCGCGTAACCCATTACGATTCTACGATTGCGCGCATCTGAAAGTCCGCGCAGCTCTTGAAGAGAAACAGGATATATGCAAATATACTCGCGCGGTGTCGGGTTTACACGTCGCGGCGCGGTGGACAGGTTGATCCCCCGCGCTAACCCTTTATGTCACTTTAATGCTCGCCCGGGGCGCGCGGATATCATGTGCCGCGGGTCCGGGTCATCGCGATCGCCGGCACCGCCAAGGACGAGGGTCGTGTGATTTTATTGTGCCAGAGAAGGGACTCCTGGACGTCTGCGGTCTGCGGCCGTCGAAAAAAAAGTCGGGGGGTAAAAAGGCCGCGGTAGGCGAACAATTCCGCCGTACACGGACGCGTCGCGGCCAATCGAGTTATACCCGCGATTGAAAAATCGCCGACAACTACCGGCGATCGTCAGGCCGCGATCCCGCTTCTAAGGGCGCGAAGCGAAACGTTCCGGTTTCGCGTTTCAGAGGCAAATTATTCGCGAAGAAGAGAGATTGCAATTTGATTTTACAGATTTTCGTAATGAAACTTCAACCTAAATGTAAGTGGATTTGCCGATCTTTACTCGTACAAATCCGACACATGAGAGCTTCAAAAGGATCCGAGGGTCTAGATTTTTTAATTCAAATTGAAACTTAAACGCCATTTAGGACCTGGCATAGGTGATTTTGTCTTCGTGTATTTAAAAAACTATACAATGTGAGCCTAGCAAACATTAATCTTCAGATTAAACTAACTAATTTACAATTTCTTTAAACTTTCGATTACGAAAAAATGTCTGTAACTTGGAATAAAGCGCTGCACAAACAAGTTGTGGCGAGGGAATGAAATGAGACTTAAGAAAGATGAATAAGAGTGTGTGACTTCGAAGTTACACGGTGTTACAGAAGATTAAAGTGTCCGAAGAAGCGTCCGCGCGTCGCTTTAATTTAATTGCATTAAACACGTATTAATTATAACGCGCTTAAGCGCAGTTATGCGCATAATTTATTGTAAACGTAATGGAGAGTAATGCGCGAGCGTCAGGAGGACACTATGTAACAAATACAAACCTTTAACAAGTACGAACTTGCTGCTGGTATAAATACGCGATTTCTCAAATATACGGTGCGCTCCGCGGTGGAAGAGGCAATAAGAGGAGCAACAAGTTAGGTTGCAGCCTCCTCCCTCGGCGCGCCATCAAGAAAATTAAAGGCATGTTACTTGATCCTGTTCGCAAACTTATGACATGTATGAGTTTCGATTTGGTATGCGCTTTATTAAACCGCGCGCATTAAACCTAAGGAACAAGCTTCATCTCAAAAGCAAATACGTGCGCGCGCGCAGGAGCGTATTTATAAAACGAGGCAGACGCGAGGAGGCAGAGCGTTACCGAGAGCGGACCCTGATGGCCTTGATGTCGACCAATCGTCGTAGCAATTATAATGACATTACACTAATAACGAGAACGTGACTCCTCTCGCTCGTAAACTAATGAAACCGCTTTTCAAACGGTCCTCTGGCAGAAGGGAGAAAGTTCCCTGGAAGAGGTATCTCCGAGGGCAGCGCGAAAGACGTCGCGGTGTCCGAACCGCGCTTTATCGCTTCGCGTCCCTTTGAATTATCGCAGGCTAACGAAGTTAAAGAATCCATTGTGACCGGAACAAGAAAACGCGCGCAGGAACCTCATTAAAGTGCGTCACAGATCACGCGATCCGAGGTCGAGTGTAGCCTCCGGTGCGCGAAGCCAGAGAACACCCGGGCTCGAACGGGTTGCGAGGAAAGTTCATATCCACCGCGATTGGGATCGTTGAACGACCTCGGGTATGAGTCGAACCAGTTCTCTCATTCG